ATAATATAAATACAATCAATTTAATCGGTTTCTGTATTCTGTGTGTATGATTATATCATTAAACTTGTCTGTTTTTAATTTCAGATAAAAAATAATGATTTTTTAATGAGTATGTTATGCAATGTGTTGAACCGAATGGAGTGCCAATCACTATCCTTCTAGTTTCCTTATAGTTTGGAAAATATTCTCTGCAAGACAGAATATATGGTGCTGCAATGTTGCAGCTCCATGGTGTTCAGCTTTTATTCACTTCAAAAAAAAAAAAAAAATCTACGCTGTACGTTGCATGCATTTTTATTTTACATTCTTTCCCTGATCCATCTAATAGTTATGCCAGTAAGCCTAGATATATTCCTTTTTGAGCAGAAGTGTATTAATAGGCTCTCTACGCTGGAGATAAACATTGAAAAGGCTCTTTTGTAGCATATGCTATCTCTGAAAAGTTAATGCCCTTTCTTTATTGCTTGTCTAACATCTTCTATGCTATCAAGGTTGATTGAAGCAATTGGGGGAATAGTTTCCATGGTACACTATGATGCTGTCTGGATTCTTTTAAAAAAGAAAAAAATACAGCCAATTTCTTCTGCCAAGTGTCGAACTTTGCGTCGGTGCATTCATGTGTTTCAGTACAAAAAATTTGTATTACTCTTGATGAGAAATATACAAAATAAGGTAGTCTTCGATTTCAAGGATGCTACCTCAACATATTAATACAAAAAGGTAAAGCATGATATAGACAAACATATTTATTTTTTCAAAAAAAAGAAAGACAAGGAAACTCAATTGGATCTAATTTGAGGAAGAACGATGGAACTTGTCTGGATGACATGAAACTTCTGAACGAGGTTCTCTTTCATTTTCCATCCCCAAATCAATATTTAGTTTTACAAGTTCCAATACAACTTCTGGTTGAGGTTCTCTTCCATTTTCCATTCCCAAATCAGTACTTACAAGTTCCAACAGAGAAATAGTTGGGAAAGGCTTCAAAAGTTCTCTTTGGCAGGCAACAAATTGTTGAAACACATATTTCATTGTTGATCTAAACTTAGGCTTTGCACGCAAGCAAACCAATGCAAGCATAACAGCAACAACAATACTTTGGGTAAATAGAATGGGACGGGGTCCTATCTAGGGATGGTAATTTCTCTCGATCCCCGCGGGGCCCCGCGGGGATCCCCGCCACGGGGACGGGGCAGGGAGGAATATTCCTCCCGCGGGGCGGGGATGGGGAGCATTTTCCTCCTGCGAAATTTCGCGGGGAATTTTCCCCGTCCCATGGGGCCCCGCGAGGATCTCCATCCCCGCAAAATTTAAAATAAATATAAATTAATTTTATTTTAAATTTAATTCATCTTTCATACTTAAACCCAAATCCAAACCCAAACACAAACCCAAACTCAATTAAATCAAAATTAAACTTAACTCAATTTTACCTAACCCAACCCAACCCAATCCATAAAAATTAACCCAATTAATTCCCTTACTTACATTTAACCTTAACCCTAATTCATTTCTCAATTTTCATTTTCACCTTCCCCTCCATTGTTGGTTTAATTTTTGCTTATGTTTTAGTTTAGCTT